CATCTGGTACTTTCCCCCCCCAACCCCTCCCGCTCCGGGCCTTGCCTCCCCCAACACCTCCCGCTCCGGGCCTTGCCTCCCCCCAACACCTCCCGCTCCGGGCCTTTCCTCCCCCAACACCTCCCGCTCCAGGCCTTTCCTCCCCCAACACCTCCCGCTCCAGGCCTGGCCTCTCCCCAATACCTCCCGCTCCAGGCCTTTCCTCCCCAAACACCTTCCCCCTCCAGCCCTTGCCTCTCCTCAACACCTCCCCCCTCCGGGCCTTGCCTCCCCCATCCGGCCCGTTCCTCCCCCAACACCTCCACCCTCCGACCCTTTCCTCCCCCAACACCTCCCGCTCCGGGCCTTGCCTCTCCCCAGCACCCACCCCGCCTCCGGCCCTTTCCTCTCCCAACACCTCCCGCATCCGGGCCTTGCCTCCCCCCAACACCTCCCGCTCCGGGCCTTGCCTCCCCCTATCGCAATGCTACCTTCTCAGGCTTGGGTTTCTGGTTGGGCTTCAGAACTTTGTTGAGCGGGATGTCACTGCCGAGGGCACGCATCTTGCCAGAGTCGAACACCTTGCGTCTCTTCGCCGCATTCTTCTTGCAGACGACCTCGTGTTTCACCTGCGAGGCAACGGAAAAGCAGAAACGATCAGTCGTCGCGGAGATTCGGATACGAAGGCTGAGCAGACATGCTGCGTACGCCATTGTTGGCATCTTTCGCGAGAGACGTGCGTGTAACGCAAATGCAAAACTGGAACATGATTACGAAAAACGTTAGAACTCGATAACCATACGCCGTCAAACTCGACGGCCGACGACTTGACATTGCTATTCTGATCAAGGCACACGTCTACACACTCTGCTCGCATGAGAATGATAGGCATGCATTTCGAAATAACCACATGATTGATCTGGGCTCTAGTGCGCGTGTGCATCGCATCCACCGCTGATGCCAGCGACGATTTGAGGAGTCAGATATAATAGAGGAAGTCACTTAAACATGGGAGTTGGCTGGCAATCATGAGCTATCCGCAAGGGAGTAACATGAACCTGAATGAAATATCACGCCTTACGTCCTGGGAATTCTTTTGGCGGTAGCCACCTTATTCAGTTCAATAGCAGGTACTTCTAAGCTTTGACAGCTTTTCGATTTCATTCCGTGATAATGAAACATGAATAATGTATTTATAATCGTAGGAATATAATAGGAAACATGATTATACGGCATGTAGCAGTACTAGCACCGAGTAAGGAATTCATCTGATATTAGAAAGCGACAACATTACAACACCTCGTTTATTGCATTGCACGCAGTGAATATTAATAAGGGAATGCCTCGAGCCATCCAGGTGTGATTTCATCACAGATTTAGTATTCCACGGCTGTTAGTAACGCAATCCGACTGGCAAAGTGTCTGAGCACATTGTGCTGTTTTTCTTTTTAGCTGAAATCTTGCTGTTGTCAAGTTTCACGAAGGTTGGAATTACGAGTAAATATTAAGGGACAGCCACAGTTGCTGACTAGTACAACCTTTTACCTTTACCACACATGTCCAAAGATAAGTGAGCATGCTGTACAGATATATATATAGTCAACTTACGAGACATGTCTATTTACATTAATGATTAGTTATTAAATTTAGATGCTATATGATGGCTGAAGAGACCATTTAACATTATTACGACTATACGGCATACAGCAAAATGCCTACCTATAAATATGATCTGCAGGTACAAAAATGAAACGCATAATGATATATATATATAGGTGTTCGTTATAGCTCTCTATAGAAAGATATAGAAAACTTGTACAAAATCCTGCGGGGTTTTCCTACTCTAACTTTACATAGTCTCAGGCCATAATTCTGTTCTACTTTAGTACCGATCTATTTTATTCTATTATCTATCCGTAGTCACACTACAGTGCGCGAAATTAGCATACATTAGGACAGCTACATGCAAATAGATAGCATACCTGTGCCGAGTAGTTTGAAAGTAAGAGCAAATATTAGGTGGGCTCGCTCTGGCAACTACATCACCAGTAGGATCTGAGGGGAAGGGGGGGGGGCAAGTATTGAAAAGTCAGGCAAATGCTAAGATCAATTTGCAGTATCCTCTCAATATTTGCTCTTCGGATGACTTCCAGGGTGATACTCCATTAGAAGTAAATCATTTAATGTCATTAATGGTTAGGGTTATGTTATAGGTTAGGTTAGGGTTAGGGTTATGATTAATCATTAATCATGAATCATGAATCATTAATCATTAATGATATCAAAGTTGGAAACACTCCTGATGGAGCGTTAGCCGACTTCCAGTGCCTAACCTTACATGCAGACGACCTGTGCAGTTGTACAGTCACTGCACCTGTTAACTCATTATTGCTGTTACACACACAGCTAGCCATGCACGCACACATGAACACATATTGCTTAGTAACTTACAACTAGAACTTCTTGTCAAAGACAGTAACCTAAACCACCTGCCAAACAGCTAATATTGTTTAAAATCACCCATCCCGCCTCCTCTTTACCACTAATCGACTTCGCAGTGGCTAGGAATGCTATACTTGATAACGCACAACAGAAGCATTCACTCTGAAACCTGTTCAAGATTATATTTGAGAAGGGCGTGATGATCACATCAGCTACGAAATCAACTTACCAGCGTCGGCTCAGCGAATGTGCGTCCACATATCCTGCACGGGATCAGAGTAATGTTGCTCACGTCTGGAGCTTCCCCTGTAAGATAGCAATAAAATCAGGAGTCTATCAATAAGAAGTCAATAAATATTGATAGACTCTTGATAAAATCACTCAGCTGTCTCCATTGTTAGACAAATAGTTGTATAGATTCCTATAGTGTTCCTATAGTATGCATTATAGTACATAGTATATATATCATGTATAGTTTTTGCATTTCACCGTTGTACACTCTCATTCTTAATACGCTCTTGGTAGTAGATATAGTCCTGTATAGGCTATACATGTAGTATACATGTAGTATACATATTGTATACTAGTTCCTACCCTATGTTCTATAGTGTTCTATAGTACTGTTAGATAGAATTTCTCTGAAAGTCATGCCTATGACTCATGAGCCATATCGCGCTGCTTGCTCGGTTGTCAGCTGATATTGGCATCAAAACTTCTCATATTCCTGTGAACTATGCAAGTCTAAGAGAAAAATTGGGAACTTGGGAATGCTTGCAGTGCATTTCTTCATTGTTTTTTGTTTTGTTTTTCGTTTTGCGTCTGGCAAAATGTAATCTTAATATGTAAATTGAACAAAGATATAAGCATGATTATAACATGCTTCAGAGTAATTATCTATAATGATAATTTACTAATAGATGGGCAAGTACCATATATATGTGTAGATACTTATATTATTTATACAATGACAGTTATATTCAACATTTAGACCTAACAAATTGTGAAAAATTACTCCTAATTATTATTATATTAAAGCATTATCAAAATACAATTTTACATGTACTGTCGGAATTATGATTATACCGTATACACGTGTGCATGGTGACACTCACAAGACTAACGATCCACAAAGCTTATTACACACACCACAACCTATTATACTCTCTACAAAGTTGTCTGCACCGAATCTCTGCTAAGTTGGGCTTAACCTGATAATTAATCACCGATTTTAATCAATTTTAATCCGCCCGCGAAGTTAATCAACCATCATCCGATACCACCACGTACCAGCTCTGTATAACAATGAAGGACTTCCCCGTTATACCGTATTAGTATTACACCGGCATTGCCCCGAGCAAGATGTTGGTGTGGTGCAGGTGTTCGTGTGCTTGTGTACCACATGCTGACAACTGAACGAGTGAGCGCGTTTAGCATTCACACGCCAGTTCGGTGGCTGGTAGGATCACGTGCATGATGAGCTCTTGATGCGACGCAATATTATGCCACTCGCCTCGAATGTTCCTATCAGATCGTTCCATCGCGCTACGTGGGAATCCTAGCAACCGATCAATTCCTCCGTCTATCGTAATCTCCTGCGAACACATCTCGCACGCGCTCGACAGTAGATGGCCGCAGTGAAATCAGCGTAGAACTGTACGCGGACCGGCTCGTCGTTTCGGGAGCAGGGGGGGGGGAGGGTAAGAGAGGAGGGGTTGAGGGCAACCGCTGCGCACCACCGGTTCGCTGCCCGACCAAGAGACAAACACAGTGAGTGACTGACTCTGCATGAGTCATGGTATGAATCATGTGATGTAGGGTGGGGGGTGCCTACACAGCCGGCCTCTCTCATCGCCTGCATCCTGTTCGCTGGATCGTAATGCGTACACGCAAACACGCACGCACGCACGCACGCACGCACCCACACACACACACACCCCACACGCACGCACGCACGCACGCACGCACACACACACCCCCCCCCCCCCCCCCCCCCCCCCCCCACCCACCCCCCCCCCCCGCCCCCCCCCCCCCCGCCCCCCCCCCCACACGCAGCACGCCACGCCACCACACACACGCCCACACACGCACGCACGCGTAACGCCACGCACACGTCACACTGCACACACACACACACACCCACACACACACACAACAAACACGCTACAGGTCGCACACGCACACGCACCACGCCACACACCACACACCACACACACACACACACACACACACATCACATCACACACACACACACAAACACACACACACACAAAACACAACACACACACACACACACCACACACACGCAGCACGCCCACACGCACACGCACACGCACACGCACACGCACACGCACACGCCGACACGCACACGCACACACACTCACTCACTCACGTCGGTTTGCTCAGCACCCCAGAGAAATTATTTAACCGATAATAGCACTGTATACATTAAACTATCTGTTTCCCCGTTTCCTAATCCGGTTGGGAATTGACCTGAACGTATACATAAGCCTACTTCACGCGCTACGGGCAACAGTACGTAGGGTCTGTCACGGAGATTTCTGTAAATAATTGCTAGATTTGGCTTTCATAACTATCTCAGCAGATCTTTGATCAATACAAAATTTACATAGCGTAGGATTATAAAATACGAGAGACACATAAACTTTTTCATGGTAACAATATATCAACATGAATTTAACATGTATATATAGATCTGATCAAAATCAGTACTTGCCGAAGACATTGTCATATGTACAAAATAAAATTTATCAAATTCCTGTTAGCATTCATGGTTAACTTATATAATGTCACCATTATGGAACATTTGAAAAAACCTCCACAGTGTTCACGTGCACATGGACACAATGGCCTAAATATGCGTCTTTTGTGTAAACAACAAAAGTCAAACAATCATATATCTATTTTCTACCAATCCAATAATACATTCTTTATAGAATGAGCAAGTTAGAAATGTCAAATGAATTTTCAGTTCAATTGAAGACCATATTTTAGGTCACCAAAAAATTTTTATTAATCATAGTGACTTCTCTGTTTCTGTCACTCCATATTTGAAGGTTCTTCCTTCTTTTCAAGTCAACTGTAAAATTGAAACCCTTTTTACTCAAATCTGCAGTTTTGACACTGATTTTGATTGAATTTGATCAACATTGAATCTCTCCTTGTTTGTTACAATCCCTTGGACTTTGAAGAGCATTCTTTATGAGGTTAACGAGGGACACAAATTAGCATGGTGTGTCCGCTCAAGCGCGGGCGAATTTTGCTGCTAATTTCATCCGCACCGAAATTCGCAGCGATCAACCATGTTTGATATTTTTGCTGCGAACGTGCGGATGTGCGAATATAGACTGGTACCTGTCCCTTCTCACAAGCTTGATATAGGCCTACATCAAGCTTGTGAGAAAGGACGGACCCGTACCAGTCTAGTGCGAATAATGGCCGATTGTTATAATGCAGCAAATCATTGATCAGTATGCTAATCACGTGACCACATGTCTGTTGGAGCCATGGTTGGAGCCGTGTGGCGCCAGTAGATCGCGTGTAGTGTGTACGCTGCGGACGTGCAAATAAATTTGCATGGTGCGAATATTTTTGCTGCTGCGGACGTGCGAATAAATACGCATGGTGTGTCCCAGGCTTTAGTGACTTAACCTTTCTACCTCCCATGTCACTGCCCAATCCTAGTTTAGCACTCCAGATTTGTTTACCACATATTATGCGAACCACATATCCCAGGGTACCAAACTAGGATTGATCAACAAACCAATATACTTGTCGATACAGTTGTCTTTCGGTCATCACTGCAATAACCTAAAACTACTTCCTATTCCACCCCAAACCTAACCATAACCAGAAATACTGCTAAATCATAGCAAATACTAATAGCAATAAATACTCTGTAACATCTACATCTATATGGTTACGTCAATCTGTCACTCTTGACAATTACTCAACGGTTTCCCGTGCGCACAAGAAAAAGAAAATTTACAAATAAGAATTACATGACCAAGAATAAATAAAGTAAAGTAAAAAGATTAAAGAACTAGAAAGGGCAGTTGTCGCCAACTACATCCCTATCCCCCGTGTTCTCCCCAAGATGTGTAAGTATACGGAGTTTGGTCGCGCTAGGTCAATTAGGGGCTGAGTTATAGAGTGGAAGGAAAATATGATGAAGGTCAAGGTAAAGGTCAAATAAAGGTTGTAGTGACCTGGTTTTGGTAGCGCTAGGTCAATTAAGGGCCGAGTTATATAGCGGAAGGAAAATATAATCAAGGTAAATGTAAAGGTCAAATAAAGGTTGCAGTGACCTGGTTTTGGTATGCTGCGCACCTTCTTCCCAAGATGTGTAAGTATACCAAGTTTGGTAGCGCTAGGTCAATTAGGGGCCGAGTTATAGAGCGGAAGAGAAATATAATCAAGGTCAATGTAAAGGTCAAATAAAGGTTGCAGTGACCTGGTTTTGGTATGCTGCGCACCTTCTCCCCAAGATGTGTAAGTATACCAAGTTTGGTCACGCTAGGTCAATTAGGGACCGAGTTATAGAGCGGAAGAGAAATATAATCAAGGTCAATGTAAAGGTCAAATAAAGGTCGCAGTGACCTGGTTTTGGTACGCTGCCCACCTTCTCCCCAAAATGTGTAAATAGACCAAGTTTGGTCACACTAGGTCAATTAGGGGCCGAGTTATAGAGCGGAAGGGAAAATCTCTGCGGCAGACCGAGCGGCGGCGGCGGCGGCGGCTGTACAGACATGAAACCATAGTATCCCCGCCAAATTTGTCGCGAGGGATACAATAAAGTAACGGAGACAAGGAGTAACGAGTTGACCCATTTGCTTTTTTTGGTCATCTAGTCGAGACCAATCCGGCTTCCGTGGCGGTACCAGGAAAATGTTTCCCCGCCGGCCTAGCTCAAGGCCTTCATTTGACTCACTGAGCACATGGGGACAAAAAGACTTCAGAATGAATGATGTGACAGCTCTCACTTAAAAGATACTAAGGAGGCAGCCTCAGCAACTGGTGATGGTAAAGAGTTCCAAACTGGTACTGTCCTGGGAAAGAAACTAAACTTGAAGCTGTCTGTTCTGGTTGAGAATTGCCTGAGTTTCTTGGAATGTGATGATCTAGTGCGGGCTGTCATAGGTGTCAAATATGTATCGCTTGGAATATCCACCAGATTGTTAATGATCAATTTTAAATAACATGATCAGCTGTAGTTTTGTTATCCTGTTTTCTAATGATTCCCAGCCCAGTTGGCCTAACATTCTGCTGGTGTTTCTGTAGCGGTTGATGGTGTAACGTGCAGCACGCCTTTGAACCATTTCTACCTTCCTGATCTGTTCTTTCTGGTGTGGGCTCCATAACAAGTACTAAGTAGGTCCTAAATAAATTAATAATTGTGGATAATAGATTCGTGTGGTGCTGCTACTGGCAGGGTCGTAGCCTGCGGGGGGGCAGCTGTCCCCCTAGATTTTGAAGCAAAATTAAAAAAAAAGTGTTCTACTAAAAGAGAATTGTCGTAGTCAGAATGAAGGCTGTACATGTATGTACTCAAAAGTGCCGTCCATCTCCTGCGATCTACATTTTCAAAATTTTCTGACAGACCCCCACACCCCCACCTGTTTGTCACCCCCTCCTTGAAATCCTGGATCCGCCACTGCCCCCCTAGGAATTTGCTCAGCCTACGGCTCTGGACTGGTGTTAGCCCGTGGTCATGAAACGAATAAACAAACTATATCTGGCTATAACTGAAATACTGTTAGTTACCTGTAAGTACCACTCACTCTGTTTCGCACTCCGTAACGAAGTTATGTTATCACTATCAGTATCAGTGCGGCCGTAACTGTTATTGTTATGCTAGCCGCACACTATACGATTTTGCTCGGGCCGCAGTCGTAAGCCCTCGCACACCATACGCTCGGCAGCCGATCGATCGGGAGGCCCCCGCACACTGTACAACTCAAAGTCGGTGCTAACCATGGCGCTCTCGTGGCGTTCCAAACTTCCAAGCGGATTTAGCGTGTACTAAGGTCGGGAGTGTTTCCCCGCCATTTTGACCGAATGCGGTTCCCATGGCGCTGCTCTGTGATTGGTCAATTTTCTTCAGCGCTCAGCGGCGGGTCGGATGGCCACACACACTATCCGAGTCGCGTCATATACCCTCGCACACTATACGACCTGCTCCGCTCCCGATTCAAAATTCGAATCGGCCCAAAATGACCTCCCGGTCCTGTCAAACCAGTCGGTAGCCAGACGCAAGGCCTCCCGATCCAGACATAAGTGATAAGCCTCCTGATCCCGCTCGGGTCGTATAGTGTGCGGCTATCATTACTGTCAGGAATTGCATTCGTCTGCATCATAGATATATACAACACATGTGTTGTATATATCTATGTCTGCATAAACGAAACGCTGTGGCTATATGCCCGGCAGCCGGGCACGGTCTTCGATTTCCTAAATGCCCAGCAGTTCCTAACCCTAACCCTTGTTTACTTGAGATAACGCTGAAAACTAAAAACTGCCGGGCATATAGCCACTCTGTAAACGAAAACCCCTAACGACGGTGTATTTTGCGAACTGACACAAGGTCGATTCGTGATTTAATTCTCATTTTTCGTGCTACTATAGCCCCTTCCGCAGTAGACCGACGCATACCACCTCACCGTATTTACATCAAGCTGCTTTACGTTTTACTCGCATACGTCGTTAGTAACCAGATGCAGTGCGTCCTCGAAATCATGCAATCGCGAGAGATTTCCGTTGACTGTAGTGTTACTGTTAGTGTTATATGATATATCATATATGTTGAAGAAGATTTATACTTGATCGCAACGTATCACTTATAATGCATTTGTAAAGAAATTCATAATATTGAGATATAGCATGAAATCGTCTACTCACCGTTAAAATCCATGTTTACAATCACATTTGTTTATAATAACAGTCCAAATCAACACGGTTGCCGTGTACGAGCTAAAACATTCGCTGCTCTATCTTCACCCTTGTGAGTGCGCTACCATCGCATCAACAAATGCTCACTTGTTATTGACACATGGTTTATTTGATGTGTGAGTAATTTCTCCTATTTTAGTATTGTTGACGTGAATACGTCGCATAAAAGTGTAAACTGATATTTTACATAGAGCACAATGACTAACGTTTTAAAGGAAACTAATCAAGAAGCTCTTGTCAGCAAATGTTTGAATGCAATAGAACAAGCGGAGTCTGATAACGACCTGTTCGCTGCGTTGTTTTTGGTAGGTCAGCCATCATCAGCCTCCGGCAATGTCCTGTCCTGTCCTGTCCATGCCATTGCCAATGCCGCTACTACCACCGCACTGGTTACTGTAGTGCTAGCAATACTGGCAGTGGTTCGTACTCGTAGCTGTAATGTTATGATCGCATCATGTAATATAGTTTGATTATTGATAGTATTATGTTAGCTCTAGATTCTAGGACCCTATATGCCCCTCCGCTCCGCCGCAGGCGCAGGGCTATAGTATAGGCCTAGAACATACTAATTACTATGGCAATTTCCAGGGAGTAAGCAATGACAACTTTTTTGCGGTTAATAACTTCTTCGGTATGCCAAATAAAGCCCATTCTCTTTCGCACAAATGTCTTAAGTTACTACAAACACTAAAATTAAACCGCAAACTAACGCTTAAATGTTGTATTTGCTATATTATTCGTCGACGAAGATTGTTTACCAACTTGTAACCGCCATTTTTTGCTAGTGAGCGGGCACAATGTATTTTCAAGTGGAGGGGTGGGCAGGTTGCATGCGGTTGCAAACCGCGCTAGCGCTGCGCAACGAAAAATGGCGGTTTGGGCCCCCTGCAAATCCTCAGTGCATGACACATGCCTATGCGAGTCTGGAATGTTACACAATACCAGGTAAGGCATTCCCACATCTATAACGATGTACCCGTTACGCTATCTGCATAATGTGTCTTATAGGATGTGTTGATTAAAATATCCATAATGAATGTCTCACACTGTGTTGCCTCTCATTTTTGCATAGGTTACAAAGGTACTTCGTGCAGAGAAATTGGAAGCAGACATTAGGAAAAGATTGTATGATGCCATTGGATTTGACTTCATCAACAGGCTACTGATCACTGGTATTTCAATACCTTTTTGTATTTAACAGTAGCAACCACAGTAGTAGTTGAAGGTAGTAGAAATAGTAAGCTATATGCAGTTATCCTTATTATGAATGTTATTTTACTAAAGGTTTGTGTAATTTATCATCTTCCAGTTGCATAGTTCCACATGAGAATCAATCTTGGGTACAAAAAACCAGTCTTGTATAAAAATATAGGAAAACTGTTATTATCTGTATCCAATTGTAGATGATGTTCCAGAAGAATGTGATGAGTACACGTATAAAGCGCTAGCCTTGACATTGTTGGCATGCTATGCCACAGAGCAAGACTTACTGTCAAATGTCTCAATGTTGGGAAATGTGCCATTCTTCAACAAAGTTATCGGTGGTGCTTTCAGGTAAGGCAGTTTGAAAGTAATGTGGCTGTTTAGATTGCCAGTAAGACCTTGAGCCTGGCTCAACATGTTTGTGCAGGAGTAGAAATTAACTTTTGAACAAGGGAGTCCAACAGACTCCCTGCCCTCAAAGAGAGGGAGTCCGCAATCTGAAGTTCAAAACTAAAGATATTAACAATAACGCGTGTGCTTATTTTGAAGATTCTGTCTGCCAAATTTTCTTTAGACATTTGCTGAAAAAATACGGTAATTCCGCGAGGCCGTGCTCTGGAACAAACTAGTTGGTATATAGCAGAATTTTCAGGGAGTCACATGGACCCCTGCATATGTCAAATCGGGGAGTCCGACAATAAATCGGGGAGTATTTGACTCCGGACTCACGTTAATTTCACACCCTGTTTGTGTCTTGTCTTCTATTTTGAGTAATTGATTGTATTTTGTTACATCATACTATTTTTTATTGAAATTCCATGTTAATCCAGAAGTACAAATTATATTAAAGTAACACATTGGCAGCATTGCATAATTGAGGCATGTCAGTACAACGTGGTTGCATGTTGTGCAGTACTGCAGGCAAAGATGAATCTGAGATTATGATCCATGAAGCTTACCAGTGCCTAATGGGTTTGGCATCAATAAGGGAAGGACGAGATCAATTGATAGAAAAAGGAACTGTTGGCACCATTTGCCGGGCATTTTCAGAAAACTTATATGGTGAGTAATTCACAAACAAAAGGGGTAAAATCATTTTAAAAATATTAGATGCAAACAGCAATGTTGTTGTGCTATATTAGCCTGTGTGCAATGGAATACATTTGTATAAGTTAATGAGTAGCTACTTATGCTTCTAATATGATTAATATCTGAGCTTACTATGCAAACATACTGTGTGTATATGTTTAATCACACATGTGGTTTACTTCTGCAGGAGAGGAAATGGCTTTACAGCTAGTTCTGTCACTAGTCTGTGTGTGTGGTCCAGCTACATGGCAAAATGATTCGAAATCCCAAGATATTTTACTTAACAAACTTTCAGGTGACCTTCTCTCAGATAAGGTAGTTACACCATACTGTGGGCACAGCTTTGACCTTGTTCATTTGTTCCGTATCTAGAGGTAGTGATTAGATTAATTATATTTTTTTACCTCAGGACTGATACAGGATTTCACACTGTTGTCTTCAGAATGAATAAGTCGTCGTGAATAGGTCGTCATAATAAGACTTGGTGTCATGACATAACAAATTTGCTATACATCAGCCCTAATGGCCATTGGAAAATATGACATGATATGCAAGAGTGCTGTGTTCTTATCACGAGTAGCCATGTTCCATGACTGATTATTAGGTGCTTATTGTTATGATTAAAATTTCAGACACACAAGAAGTTTGAGCTTTTGGAAGTGACAGTAGTCTTGCTGCTAGGAACGTTTGATAGAAGCCATGCTGAACCAGACTTCAGCAAGCCATGGATGAAGAACTTACACAGCACTGTGTCAGAGCTGTTGCAGAGTAAACTAGGTATGTGTATTCAAAGGTGCAACATGCACACAGCCAACCAACTCAGCTGTTATGCCAACAATAATGATAATTATCAGCTGTCCAAAAAATTAAATTTGAAATCAATCTTCACCATTCTTTTGGGGATGAATTTGGCAGACACGATCCATTCCTGTTGAAATTGTCAGTGAAGTGCAGAACAGCTGTTTGTAGCTGCAGGTTGACATGTTTTATGACACCAGTACGACTATCCTTCACTAATCTTAGACAGCGTAGTAAGAAATTACTGAATAACTAAATGATGGGAAACTTAAAAAAATAGCTTTTCTATGAGAAGAGATAGTAATTACTTTCATTTTTCCAGCAGCAGATCTGCTTGTCTCTGAAAAGTGGAAATACGTTAATTGTGACTCCTGAAAGTATTGCTTAAAAGCCATCAAAACTGCTGAATGCTAACACTATTCAACTAGCAAATAATGGTAGGGCAGAGTAACACATAGTTCTCATATGTCATCCACTTCAATTGCTCCGTGTAACAGGGCAGGAGCAGAGAGAGAGTGTTCTGAAGTTAGCCTCATTACTCACCGAACATACTGGACTTGCTTGGATTCTGGGACCGGCAGGGAATGCTATCAGGCACCTACTCCTGCTCGTGAATCTTGCCGGGATTGAAGTCCGAATGAATTTGGAGGATAGAAGCTTGTCGCAGGTAATATAGGGAGGTGGCTCATCTGGAGAAACAGTGGGATGAAAACCTGTTTTTGGCTTGATGATAAAAAAATGATGCAAATGATGTTGCATTAATAACTAGCAAGTTAGTTATTGTGGCAGCACTGAATGTAGTTCACATATGAACACTCCTAGTCTATTCCATTATTCATCGCTGTTTGTCGTACCTTAACCTTGCCGAAATCCTTGAATCAAGATGGCTGTTAAATTATGTGGTGTTAATGAATTGTGGCACCATCTTGTTAATGTTATAAAGTAAGCTCCACCCAGTAAGACTGTGGAAGTATCAAACATAAAGTGGCATCTGTATAGTAATAATAAGTTCATAACAATTTACATCCACAGTAAAAATTCCGTGGCTGTATCGCACGGAAAAATACAAAACACCAGTATTCTGTATACTGTGTGTGCACACACACACTCGAATAAGTCGTTGATTTCGTCGCTGACAGGTCGAAAGCAGTGCGAGTCTGCTGTGCAGCTGTTACTCGATACTAGAGAGCGCCATACAGTACATGGTCGAGGGCGTGTCCCTCCCGCTCTCCATGCAGCAGATCGGACAACTGCACTCCACGATGCACTCGGCGCTGGCCGCCGTGATTGGCTACCTGGAGCTGGTTGCCCGGGAGACGGGCATGGGCAGCTGCCTCGGCGGCGCGAGGATGGAGCTAGAGATAACGGAGCTCCGGGAGGAGGCGGAAATCGAGCGGTGCAAGAACGCGTTAGTGGTGCAGGCGTCCGTTCGTCTGCTGGGGGCGTGGATGGCAGAGGAGACCGTAGCGCTGAGAGCAGACGTCGTTAACCTGCTGCCATTCCTCCTGCACCTGGGGTGAGACCTGGGGAGATCTTGCATGCAGGGGGGCCATTACGTCGTCAGACACAATATTAGTTTTAGCATCACCGTTGACAGAAACGTCGTAAGGTTTCTCATGCGCAGTGTATAGTGGTCTGGCCTACAGGTGTAAACCTAGGGTGAGCCCTGGAGAGATTTTGTATGATGAGGCCTGTCATCAGAAACAGAATTATCATTAGTCTTACTATGAACTTTTTCTTGCAGAGCATACCTCTATATACTGCGTATGGGAAACTCGTAACTAGTTTCTGTCAACGGTCAACGAGAATATGTTAATGTCGATACTAATGTTAATACTTTTTTTTGTTTCTGACAACAGGCCTTGGTGTTTTACACGTGATGTGCTGTATGTACATAATATTTTTGTATGAAAGAAACCTTAAATTTGATGTGAAATTACTATGATACATCACTCATAACATATATGAGTCCATATACAGTATACGCATAAAGTCATGCACTCTATTTTTCTATCACCTACTATATGTTAATGTCAGAAGGAGATGTGTCAATATAATTTAGCTTGCTGTGTACTTGCAGTGCAGGGAATATCAGTAAGATAGTAGCCAAGGAAACTGAGAGTGAGAGAAATACAAGCCAGGATGAAAATATCCAACTAACTCAGCAAGGTAAGGCCGTCTATAAAATACACATGTGCACTACACCCTCTCTTTTTGTGCTATGTTCCCATGCGATACTGAGTACATAGTCTCAGCAAATCAACAATTATTATGAACAATTACAGCATTAACCCTGTGATAATACAGGGAAGAGTACCGGTAATAGCCCAAATACCAAGGAAGTGCTGCCCTCTAGTGACAGTTATTAAAAATAAAATTGGGTGCTTGAGTATAGATAGACACAGGCAGTGCGAACGAACATGCAAATGCAAGAAGTTGTTGCTTAACAACTACTTTAACAACTACTACAGTAGTTGACATACAAAACCCGATATGGAAAACTGCCACTGGAACTCAGGGAAAACTGCCAATACGTTGTAATTGAATGAGCGACTATCATATAAGTGTCATTCTGTGTACTGCCTTCCGTCAGACATGCAAGTGGAATCGGGTATGCAGGCTTGCGCAGATAGCGAGACCATAGACCTGCTGCGGTTCCTCGTGCCTGGACTCTGCCACCTGGTCGCCGAAGAAGGACCGAGAAAGCTGTTACTGGAGCAGGGGGCGCCACTGCTACTCATGCGCTTCATGCGTCATCACTGGAAGAGGTGGATCGCAGATCCTGCTGACACAAACTCACAGGTGAGGTCTGTCTGCTCTCTCCTCATGAAAGAGTAAGGTTAGCAAGCTAGTTTTGTGTATGTTTGGGATTGTCCATCTAACATTTAAAACAACAACGTTTCTGGTCATGTCTTGTGATGGCAAATGAGGTGAAAATGTGCATTTCGATAGGTAATGTACAATCTTGGCACCAGTGTGGATTAATACTTTCTGCAACCTTCACAGAATTAATACATGATCCTAAAACATGATAATATTGAATGCTATGTATAATTGTATATACAAAGTAAGATTAAATTAAATCTATGCTATTATTATCCGATTATAATCGATTAAAAGATTGGTTAAGGGATGTGCATTTCGATAGGTAATGTACAATCTTGGCACCAGTGTGGATTAATACTTTCTGAGGTTGTTGAATGTCCCGGAATGGCACATGTCGACCAGTGTGGTATTTGCTGTGCATTATTTGTAATCATATGATTTGTTTTACTTTATTATATTATGTATATATAATATATATATATATATAGTGAGGTTCAAGACTTGGAGACAAGGTATCAAAATTGAATTTGAATTATTCCTTCTCTGTGTTTCAGACAACCTTAATAAGCATCTGTGGATTCTTTCAAAACATTGTTGTAACAGAGCCAGAGTTGGTAGCCGGTGATGAACTGTTCACAGAACTTCTGCAGTTTGCACTTAGCACGTTCCACACAGTGGGTAGGTCCGAATTTATGATTTCTTTAATTTTGCCCTCTCACATACTAGAACTAAATTTAAAACTAAGTTTGTGCAATCCTTAATTTTCACACTGGCACCTTGGTCTCATTGCAATAAAATGGATTACCTTTGTATAATATGTGAAATATTATGTTCCATTTTTTAGATGTCAAGGATGTAGTTTTGGTTGGAAATATCTTGGTCCTCGGTTTGTTACTGGTGAAAAACAAAAGTATTGACAGCTCCCCAAATCAAGGTACGAGTAATTTTCATATTGGCTAAAGTATTACATGTCCAAGCTATAATTAAAGAAGTATATATATTACTAATATAATGCTATAATTACTTGGTAATAGTCAGGAAATGTTATTAGAAACATGACATCGATTTTCAAAGCTCACTGTAACTTAATATATTTTGAATCAACAAAGCAAAACATAACCATTGGCTTAGAAAAAGTAAATCAATGCTTTTCATTACCATAGTGACAGCGGAGGCCAGCAGTAAATTTTTCCTAGCAGCGGTGAGCTTTCTCCGGTCAGTGCACACATTTAAGAATGGACGCCTTGCAGTTAAACCAGCTTTCCAAAAACATTGGGAGGATTGTGAAGAGCTTTGGTTTCTTGCAATGCAAGGTACATGCATGCCAAGTAGAGGCTATTGGTGTAGTAAATCACATACGTATTATGGACGACACTTGTTATTTGAGTAAGGTCACGTGAAATCATGAGTCTTTGCTTGTGAAATCTTAAGTAATAAGAATATCTTGGTGTATGTCACAAATAAAGAAATAATGAGGATTTCACAAAATCTCGGGAAGTAGACAGTTTCACAGTCAAATGAATCTGCTTTTAGTGCTTGGAGCCTGCATATCTCAGCTTCCCTGGTTGCCACAGCGACTAAGATTGACAGGCTGGCCAGCATGGATACAGACGATGGTAAAGAATGTTAAAGGTAATACTATAATTATTGTTGCAAGACTCGTAATACTAGTGTCACACTTCATTTTACATGATGATTACAGGTTATTCGCAACATGACTAGAGAAATGCTTTGAAGGAAGCTTGGTCCAGCATCCAACATTCTTGATTATGATACATGTATTTCTCTCATGTGATAGATGTTACAGTTATCTGGTTATATTATAACTTTCAGGTACTGGAATCACTGATGAAGAAATGGCAGCATTTGCTAGCATACTTGAAACACTAGAAGAACCAAAGAGACAAGTTCTATAGCATGACCAATCAAATTGATCAAGGAAACGAAGCTGAACAATGTTCTAATCAATCTGGTATCATGCTCTTTGTCCAAAGCTGATGATGATTTCAAGTACTATTTGTAGTTTCTGTTTAAAGCTTTTCTAATCTGTGCAAGGAATCACGTGATTTTCATGTATTTGTACATTTTAACATTATAACAAACAGTTGCACAAATATATTTTATTATTTATTATTAAACCCCAAATATTAGTGTAATAAATTCGAAACAATAGGTTTTCTTATACAGTGTTCGCCAGCATACTTTACACCCGGTAATGTATCGCTTTCTAATAGTGACTTAAACTAAACTAATCATATTCAGACACCATTTACATGTTGGGTTAGACCATGTCTTTAAAACACTTTTAAGATCAAGCAAGGTCCCACTTGCCTTAAACATAAATTAAACGTGTAGGTAAAGCTGACGACTACTGTATAGCACGTACCTGCGATGTTTTGAGATCAATTTTTAGTCTAACACAACTGCGTAAACTTAACTTACGTACATTTAGATGGTACAACGTGATACATGAGCAGGGATAGATATCGTGTGGAATGGTTTTTAGCAAATATTAATGGTAAACCAACTAAATTCTTTGATCCCATGATCGCAATGAAACACTATAACTCACAATGGAACAAAACCTCAATAAAATATTAGATAAGGGGCCTAGTAACTTTCTAGTGAAAATGACAGTTATACTAAACATTTATGGATAACTTGCAGACAACTGCAGAGCTCCAAAACTTACCACACAAAAACAATGTGAATTGACCACCAGAAGGTCCTTCCAACATTCAATATCTCCTAACAGTAAATGGGGGGAAAACCTAAAAAACAGCTAAACAATAATAGCCGAATACTCGGAGAAGATTCTAGCCATAGTCTTTGCACACAGATATAATAAGGTGAAGGAATGTAATGTATGTTCAAGAATTAATTACAGTTAAATTAAGTTTCAACTACACTACATACAAATTTTGGTAGTTAAGTATCCAATAAAAAGAATTATCATTGTTTGTGGCTCTAGTACTTGTAAAGCCTCCTGTAGTGATGACATCTCGTAGAGTGGGAGCTTCTATAGCAAAAGTACATTTTTTCATTGTCATGAATTATTACCATAATGTATAATAAACTCCACCAACAAAGGTGACAACTTTTCAAATAAATAAATAATGTTTTTACATAACATAATTTAAATGCAACCTAACTGTAACTAACTGGTAAATGCATGTTAAATTCTTCCCTTAATTACTTAATTATCAACCTATGCAACCATTAACATAACAAATAATAGAAATATATAAAAAAGAATAACAAACTATAACGGTCAACGATTACTCTACATCAAAAACAAGGCTGAGAACACCACTCTTTTCTTCCTTCACACTAGTATCCATTCTGAGTCTACTCAGTATGTTACTAAAGCATTCATAGAAAGGGTCTTCTTTCCAAATGGGCTTAAACGGACATTTACAAATACGTGAATTGAATATCAATACTGCACGAATATTCACACCATGATTATGTATTAATAATTTATTCAAAATTTAAGCTAGACGTAAGTATTTAAGTATATTAAATACTTTCAAATTATGAAAACGTTATTGCTATACTAGTATATAACACTTACACTTTTCAGCTTATAGTATATTAGCCAAATGGATGTGAAAAATCCACTAAATATAGTCTCTAATACTAACAATATGTATTTCTCTGTTTATAAACACACAACTAATATGACATTTGATATTACCTGAGAATATTTTTCAATAAGGACTATTATTGAAGATGCGAATTCCTAGACTAAGTTACTATAGTTTTAGGCCGATAATTTCAGGTCAACCTGCCATTGGTTATTGCTTTAGCAAATATATAGAAATCCCATATATTGAACATCCCCAAAAATCATTGGATCTATGAATTTTGAAATCCTACTTTTATCACCACAAAGACTGCAAATACACTATAGTATAGTATACTATAGTAGTGCATACACACTCAAGAATATCATTTTGCACGCACTGCAAAATATCCTTGTTTAGAAATTAGTGCCCGTGTCTGTGTCCATAGTTATCTTTAATTGCGCCTGTGTGATACGAACGGCTAAGCAATCAAACCAGTTCTTCCTCTGGTAATATCGCCGGTATTCAATTGCCTTGTTCTTTTACGTGTTGTACCACAATATACACCTAAAACTTCGCGTGGACAACCATTGGATTCTGATCGCAGTAAAACACTCGTGATAAAATTTGAGCCAATATCTGAAGGTGTCAAATATGACAAAATGTAAAACGAGCATAAAACAGGCTAAATCAACAAACCCAAAAAAGGGGGGGCGAGCGACAGACGTAGATCGTGCTACACCATCGGCTGCATCGTGGGGGGGCACACCGGCGGCGGCAGCGCGTAACCGCTCATTCCGTTGCACGCCGTCGACGGATACTGCGGATTGTAATAGAAGTTGGGAGCCGGATTATTGGGACTTGGCGGCGTGACCGGGTAGTACCCGCATCCGGGCGGGAAGTGTCCCTGCGCGGGATGCGAGGAGGGCGGCGTCGAGCTAAGCATCATGCCGGTGGACGGGTACGGCGCGGCAGGCACGTTCGAATACACCGTCGTCGTGTTGTTGCCCGGCTGGCTGCCGTAGAAGTTGCCGCTGGACGGCTGATAGTGTGTCGACGCGCCTAGCACGGCGCCACCGTACCCGCCTCCGACCGCCGGTGCCTCCTGGAAGTCGTCGTAGCGGTCGGTGGTGCGCGCTGCGCAGCGGCTGCCGCCGCGACCGCGGTTGTACTTACGGAACCGCGGGCCGACCTTGTCATAGGTGCGCCGTCCCGCGACGCCGCCATCCGCCGTACGCTCGTCACACGGGTACGCACGGTCCTGATAGCTCTTCTGCTGGTAGACGTGCTGCGCGGGATCCTGCTCGCCAGCGCCCTCTCGTGGCACGTCGCCGAGACTCAGCTTCTCCATGTCGGCAACGTAGGTGTCGCCGGTGTTCACGTACGGCTCCGTCATCGCGTAGCCGCCGGGTTCCGGCTGCTGCTGCTGCTGCTGCTGCTGCTGCGGGGTGACGACGGCAATGCCCTCTGGCGTGTAGTAGAGGTAGTTGTTGTTGAGGTACTGAACGTAGACGGGTTTCGTCGCGTCTCCGCTGCTGCAGGCATCCTGGGTGCTGCCGCTCATGTCAAGGCTGCCCACCAGCAGGTCCTGCTGTTTGTACCTATCAATGTCGAACAAAATTGTCAGATTTCCATCGTGCCTCTGTTGAAACATAATTATAATATAATGATTATAATAATATATAATACACACATGTATAACATAATCATAACTAGAAAGGGCAATTGTCGCCAACTACATGTATCCTCCGTGTTCTCCCCAAGATTTGTAAGTATACCAAGTTTGGTCGCGCTAGGGCAATTAGGGGCCGAGTTATAGAGCGGAAGAGAAATATGATCAAGGTCAAGGTAAAGGTTAAATAAAGGTCGTAGTGACCTGGTTTTGGTACGCGACACACCTTCTCCGCAAGATGTGTAAGTATACCAAGTTTGGTAGCGCTAGGTCAATTAGGGGCAGAGTTAGAGAGCAGAAGGGAAATATGATCAAGGTCAAAGTAAAGGTCAAATAAAGGTCGCAGACCTGGTTTTGGTACGCTGCTCACCTTCTCCCCAAGATGTGTAAGTATACCAAGTTTGGTAGCGCTAGGTCAATTAAGGGCCGAGTTATAGAGCAGAAGGGAAATATTATCAAGGTCAAATAAAGGTCGCAGTGACCTGGTTTTGGTACGCTGCCCACCTTCTCCCCAAGATGTGTAAGTATACCAAGTTTGGTAGCGCTAGGTCAATTAGGGGCCGAGTTAAGCGCTAGGTCAATTAGGGGCCGAGTTAGAGAGCGGAAGGGAAATATGATCAAGGTCAAGGTAAAGGTTAAATAAAGGTCGCAGTGACCTGGTTTTGGTACTCTGTACACCTTCTCCCCAAGATGTGTAAGTATACCAAGTTTGGTCACGCTAGGTCAATTAGGGGTCGAGTTATAGAGCAGAAGGGAAATTCTCTGCAGCGGACCGAGCGGCGGCGGCGGCAGCGGCTGGGGAGACATGAAACCATAGTATCCCCGCCGACTTCGTCGCGGGGATACAATAATATTAACTAACTGAATGCCTTTGACATCATCCATCTAGGGTTGTCCATGCTGGCATGCATGGATGCTCTACCCTCTATTCACAATATTAGCAAAACAGTAATGTTTGGCCGATGTGGTAAATCTAAGAACACCTATCCAGGGTTAGAAATTAACTTTTGAACAATGGACTCCCTGCCCTCAAAAATAGGGAGTCCACAGCAAAATGAGGGAGTCCGCAGTCTGAAGTTCAAAACTAAAGATATTAATCATAATAACGATGCGCTTATTTTGAAGATTCATGCCATTGCACGTCTGCCAAATTTTCTTTGGACATTTGCTGAAAAAAGACGGCAATTCTGCGCGCCTCTGGAACGAACTATAGTTAGTATAGCAGAATTTTCATGGAGTCACACGGATTCCTGCATATGTCAAATCAGGGAGTCCGACAGTAAATCAGAGAATATTTAACTCTGGACTCGCGTTAATTTCGCACCCTGCCTATCGTGTTAACTAGCACCTAAAAATTCGTTGTTAAATGTTATGCATGTCATACACACACATTTAAATCAAGAAATAACTGAATACATTATTCAATGTACAAGTGTATGACATTACTGTCAAATCTGTCAGTATTAAAATAATGTAGGGATATAAAAAGAAATAGACACTAGGGCTGTAACGATACACTCGCGTATTCGGTGCACCGAATATTGTTGTTGGACGATACGTATTATTTGCGTCACGGTCATCATTAATCGAATACTGACGAATACAAATAATATAAATAAAACCTACTTGAAAAAATCTTTTTTAAAGTGCAATTTTACGCCGATTTGCTCGAATTCTCAATGTCGTTTGCAGCTTTCCCTGTAGCTACCTAGATGGGTACCCGTCCCTTCTCACACGTCGAGAAGGCCGAGACGTGTATCTTACTATCACGTGTAGGCCTACCCATATCCAGCGTGCGAGAAGGGACAGATACTAGGGTTGTAGCGGTATACCGGTATTGCGATATTATCGCGGTGTAATATTTTAGAATTATCATACCGTAACCAGCTCAATACCGCAGTTTTCTTGTTGACATGTGATATACACGTGTACAGTGATGTGACGAAAATCTGACACAGCCATGCTGCGTTTTTCCAGCCATGTGCGCGGCAGCGGCGCCTTTGGTTGAAGTACGGGGCTCGATCGATCGCGAGCGCGTAGCGCGTTTCACTAACGTCCGCAAAAAGTTGTTCGTTAACGGACGAAAGTTGTCCGGAGGCATAGCGGACAACGCACGCACACGCACAGACACATGCACACAGACGCACGCACGCTCACAGGCACACGCGCAGACATGCACGCACGCACGCACGCACGCACGCACGCACGCACGCACGCACGCACGCACGCACGCACACACACACATTTTCATGCGAGTCTGCTAAAATACGTCTGCTAAAACACCCTAGGAGCCAGGGCATGATTGCGCGCCATTCTATCGTTAACATAAAGCATTTTTGTTCATTCATATATATATATATATATATCTTTTATTCCTTGGTAGTTTTTACAGCTTCAACAAGTGAGTATTCGTATTCGTGAAATATTCATATTTGCATGTATATATCGTGATACGTACTGTATTCGTGACCTATAGTGTATTCGTTACAGCCCTAATACTAATAGACACACAACAAACAGCAAGCAATTACTTACTTCTAAATCGTGCATACAAGATATCCATATTCTTTCGGATATGTTTATATCCCCGCCAAGGTTTTGCAAAACTTACCCATTTGGGCTTCCCTCATTTCTGCTTCCATGTTCATCGGGGCTGCTACTGTCCTCTGTTACACCCATCGCAGGCGTGGCAGGGTACATATACGTCATGCCCTGCTGTGGGGGAGGCATCACTATTGCAGACTGCTGCTGCTGTTGCTGCTGCTGCTGCATCATCGAAGACACCCTGAAGTACTGAAGCAAAGACATGTAAACACATGCATCACCATGGCCAATGCCCAACGTACCGTATAAGATCTGTAATGTGTTACCACTGCAATAGTGGAGTGATAGTCATAATCAAGCACACAATTATTTTTAAAGTGTAAAAGAACACAGCAACCAAGACACTTACTTCAAATCCCAGATTGTAGAAGAATCGGAGTGTTCCAAAATCTATGAGAAAAAGGAATTTTCACACATATTTTTATGGTTCTAAACAGATCAATTCATGTGATAATCAGAAATTACACATTACATGAAATTTCATCAAATGATAAATCATGCTCAAAACTACAAGCTACCTACAATGTAGATCAGTACCTACCAGAAAGTGGCAGATCACTTCCTGCAGGATCCTTGGACGGACCAATGTTATAGTTGACTGTCGAAACATCAACACCAGGTACAACCAGGTAAGGCACGTATGCAGGCACGTATGGAATGTAGGTGACGGGCTGCGGCAGCGGAGAGGCCGTTGGCATGGCCATGGCACTGGCGCAAGTAGGAGCGCTGCTCCCTCCACTAGAAACAAAGAAGTCAGAATAATACTACTAAGGCCAATGTCAGTACCACATACAGACTTCAATGCTCTTCATTATAAGCATTGAACAATGTCAAAGGTCACCGATTCAAAATGTCAAAAGGTCACCGGTTCAAAATGTCAAAAGGTCAGCGGTTCAAAATGACAAAAGGTTAGCAGTTCAAAATATCAAAAGGTCAAGGTCAGCGGGTTGTTAACATCTTTGTTATCGGGGTATTCGTTTTACTGTCGTTGTGCATTTCACTTACTTGTTCGGGCAAACCTGGCTGGTATTCCCCGTGGCCTCAGATGTGGTGCACTGACCAGGCACGGGCTGTGGAGCAGAATGCTCACAATTTCCCGACGCAGCTGGCCTCTCTGGCGACTGTTCGGCGCGACCCAGGATGTCCCTCAGAGTTTTCTCAGTAGATTCACCTAGGGACACACACCTGCGTGACCGACTGCAACTAACATCATAGGGCATGCAATGCGAAGAGTATGGCAGTGCGCAACTGCAATACTATTAGCTGACTAACACCATTAACATGAAGATTATCGAAAGTGCTAATTCATAGAGCATACCCATTATCATGAGTTATGGTAGTCTAACACGACATTTCAACTGGACACCTGGCAAGTAGCGATTCAGCATGTACGTAACACAATATAGAAAATTTCATTTGAGGAACACAGTTACTAGTTGACAGACTCCACTTCACTACATTATAGATATTCTGATACACCAAATCATCATATTATACCATAGTATCTACTGAGCTTACCATCCGATTTGCTCGTTGAGGGAGGCGAGTGATTGTTCACATCAAGACAAGTAGAGGGCGCACTGTGTCGCCGTTGACGACTGTAGTGAAATTGCCTCGATTCAGGATCAGGTGAGGAATACCAATGCGGTTTCATGTACCTATGATTGCAGAAGAATTATACCGTGAATTAGATGAGTTTATATTAAAGTCTATGTTATTCTGCGAGACCAATTAAGTTCTACGACTGTTGGCAAATCTCTCACTTTACATTAGTCAAATATATACGGACTGGCTAGATTTTCTGCACCTACAATGTCACCGAAAAGACAGACCTGTTGCCCATCCACCTGTTATTCGGCATGCCTCTCTGGTGAAATCCATTTCTGTAAACCGGCCGCATGTCTAAGCCATGCTGCTGGTAGCGATGGCTTGTGAGTGGTGGGTGCAACTGGCTAAACGGCATTGGATAAGATTCCTGTAACTGGTACAAACGTTACCATTCTCAGACAGCTTTTATTGAAAGAACGTTTCGCATGCACGTGCAACGTATCTATTTCATTTCCAATTGTCACTACGTAAACCAAGTAAGCAATCAGGCAGTATATATGCGATTCCGCTACGTATTTCAGATTTTTCAGCCAAATTGATTTGGCATACAGCAACTCACTCTATACTTCTTTTTAAAGAACTTCTTCCTTCCACGGCCGGCAAACCTGCTCAATGGTGGAAAAGCTGCAAGTCCTCTGAAACCTCGTCCCCTCCAATGAGGCACTATGACAACATCGTGTAATAAATCAACGATGTATTTTGCAATATAAAAATCACATTGTCATTTTCTATACTACAGTTGCAAGATTTTATGCTGTTTTAATATCATTGAAAAACAGGCTTCACAGCACAATGACATGATAACTACATTTTAATAACATATAATGAAAAAAAGTGTATTATGATCAACCCATTTCTATTTTCTAAAGAAATGCACAGCATACATATTCAGGGGCAGATTCAGACCGTATTTGCCGTATTGGGAAATACGGTCTAGATTTCAAAGTGCCCTTCAAAATTCTGCGCTAAAAAATACAGAAAATAATTTGATGGAATTTGGCTATATTCCTTATTTGTTTTCTTTTTCTTCTGATTAATTGACAGGACTTGAAGGAAATCAAAATTGACATAGGTTTCCAGGTAACAAAACTAGCTTTGATATCTGAAAAAGAAGGGAAGTGCTTGAATCATTCTGCAATCTGCTGGTATGCAAAGCGCAGGTAAAATGAAGCAGAAATAAAATTCCATATGGTTTTTATTTATTGCTGCTTGACTAAATGTGTGCTCAAATGGTGCTCATTTTTGTGCCCAGAAACCCTTGAAATTTCCTGGTGGAGGCCCCCCAGACCCCCCTGCCATGTGCTTCCGTGCCTAACGGCGCCCACTGTGGGGTGGTGTGCCCTTTTGGGGGGGATGTGCCCTGAAAATCTGGAAAAGTACTGTCTAGCTTCCGCCCTGGATCCGCCCCTGATATTACAACATTTACATCTTCCACCTTAGTATGAATTTTTTTTTTATGAGGACTTATCAAATTAATTGCAAATGCTCACCTGGGCGGGTGTTGAATGGACACTGTTCCAACTGCTCGTATGCTACCTCACACCTAATGAGTCCACAGTAAGTAAACAAGTTATTAATACTAACAAGTGCCGCGGAGCGACAGCGCTCATCTAACGTCTACTGCGGTGACTCTGTGGTGGAGTGGTGGGATTCTAGTAAACCCTGTTAGTCCCAAATGTGTTCACATACACGCCGAAACAGTGGAATGCACAGGGATGGTATCAGGAACCTTCTCAAAGGAATGTTCGTTGGAATCGTTATGAAAGTTGCCACGAGATGGCGCGTACGTTTAAGTGTCTTCAGATTAAAGATGGAAGCTCCCATCATACGTAGTAGCAACAACTATTTGCAAGACAGAATAGGTAAGCACTCATCCATTTACCTACGCAAGCCTGCAGGCTGCAATAGAGAGCTGCCACCTGTAACCAATTAATGTGCATGTGTTGATGGTACTGTGTAGTTTTTGCCTGCTGGCAGTAGCCACTGGCAGTGGCATAGGTCAGTATGTTACATGTAACCAGTACAGAATGCCATAGAATGCTCCTTAAATCGTATAATTAAAAGCCATCACTGTGCCGAAATTGGAGGTCACAGGTCAAAGGTCAATGGGCACAGGGCAGATTTTAGACATTTTCTGAGGACATGGTCTGACGGAGCGATTGGAAAACTTTTTTGTTTCAGTAGTGACCTAGCATTTTTATGGCATTATTGAAAGGACCATGAAATCTACTTTCTGCTGACATGTGAAGAGTATAAGTGTCAGATAACCTTTTGACCCTCAAGAGGAGGGTTAAACATGGATTTGTTGACTGTCTGTTAGAAAGAATTTGACTGCCGGGTTTGCTAGTAGAATCTATACATGCCTGGATGTATGAGGCTACAATGTCACAGTGAAATTTCAAAAGCTAAATTTGTTTAAAGAAGGTTTTTTACCTGGGAACTGGGAAATGTCAGATAAATTTTTCGTGATTCGGGAACAGAAATCCATCGGGACGTGGGAAAGACCCTCTAAAATTGTCTGGGATCTGGGAAAATTGTGTCAATTCGTCGGGATTTCAATTTCTGCGCTAATATTTTTATTTGGTTGATTTTTTAATTTTTAGCTCATCTGACATGGTCAGATACAGCTTGTAGAATCGCATGAGCGTGCATCCGTCCGTCCGGCCGTGCGTCCGTCCGGCCGTGCGTCTGTCCGGCCGTGCGTCAACAATTGGGCACAAATCTTAACCGCTTGACGTACAGTCACGATATTCGGGACGTGGGGGTAATCCGAAAACGAGTTGGGATGTCAAAGCTGAGGGTTAAAGGTCAAGAGGTGTAAAAGAACATTCCCTCCTTAACTTAAGGTATATAGGGAGGAAATGCAGAATTGCGGCACAAATCTAAACGGCTCGACCTAGGCTCGTGATAGTTGGTGTATAGCATCATGGTAGGAGAAAATGTTTGAAGTTCAAAAATGAACACACTGCGCATGCGTTATTCGAGGGGGGAACGGGTATTTTTGGGACGCGGGATTGGCCATTTCTAAGACTCTCAACACTTTATATATAATATATATTGATTCCGGGAAGTGAAAACAACCAACATTGAGGCCTTACTCTCCTAGCTATACTAGTGAAGGCACACACATTCAGTGGCAGATCCAGAAGTGAATTCTAGGGGGGCGAATCATGCTAGGGGAAAGGGGCGAATCATGCGAGCTCAAGGGCACGAAGTCCCCGAGGGGGGGGGAGACTGCCCCAGTGCCCCCTGGATCTGCCACTGCACATCTGTTGGAAAATCCCCACAGTAGGCCTAGTATGACCTGCATGAGTGCATTGACCTTTCATCTACCTAAAAACAGATTTGTTGTAGTGTAAAACTGCGCCGCCATACTGGACGTCATAAAGAGTACCGGTATTTGCGCCATTGTATCTAGTATATGACTAACCCGACCAGGCTGTATGACTAACGTCAATACACCAATATATACAAGTATAATATGACTAGCTCCAAGAAACGGTCTTGCTAGGGTTAGAAGACAATCGGTCGCACAACCTGGTCGGGCTATGTGCTCCCAATCCCATGTAGTACTAGTAGTAGTAACCCGACCAGGCTGTGTGACTAACGTCAATACACCGGTATTCTAAGGTACATAAGGTATATACATACATATTCTAATACACAGGTATTCTAACCCTAGCAATACCGTTTCCTGGAGCTATAGTAGTAGTAGTACTAGGCCTACAGTACTACTACTACTAGTAGTACTACTATAGTACTAGTATTAGTAAGTACTACTGTATAGCCTGTATGCCTAACCCGACCAGGCTGTGTGACTAACGTCAATACAGCCTATATTCTAATTCCCTAGCAATACCGTTTCTTGGAGCTAAGGTATGCCATGGCTATATACCGTACTATTATGCGTATACGGTACCGACTAGTAGTAGTAGTAGTGCCTTGAATGTTTCGATCCATAATATACTTACATTTCGTTCTCAGTTCGCTGAGCGAGTTCACAATAACACAGTAGCACTCACTATCCACACTCGATAATTTCAACAAAACCATTGCATTGGATATGGATCAAGGACTGAAGAGGACATGTGCTGCGTGCAGTGTGCTGGCCGAGCAAGATTCCCGCGAAAATTTGTCTTCGGGAAAAATGCGCTGTTCTATTGTCTCTGGTGTATGCGCAGAAGAAACTCGGAAACTCAGAAACTCGGAAACTCAGAAACTCGAAAACTCGGAAACTCAAAAAGTCGGATGTCGTTTCAGGGCTTCCATAATCTACCGCCTGTACGCCAGCTCAACCCACAGAAATAGAATAAGAAGTAGAACGCTC